AGACACAGAGAGAGGGGGACAGACACACAGAGAGAGAGGGGGACAGAGACCCAGAGAGGAAATGCCAGAGACCAGGGAGGGGGCACAGTGACCCTGAGAGGGTGGCAAAGCTCTGGGTGGAGGGCAGACACTCGAGAGTGAGAGGGAGAGGCAAGCCGAAGAGTTGGGGCGGTGGGGGGAGACAGGATCCTGGGGAGCGAGGACAGGGACCCCAGAGGGTGAGGAATGGCACCGTGAGAGAGAGAGGAAGACCCGTGAAGAGGGCTGGGGACGGGAGGGCTGTGGTGAGGGGGGGAGGGCACAGTGACCCTGAGAGGGTGGCAAAGCTCTGGGTGGAGGGCAGACACTCAAGAGTGAGAGGGAGAGGCAAGCCGATGATTGGGCGGTGGGGGGAGACAGGATCCTGGGGAGCGAGGACAGGGACCCTAGAGGGTGAGGAATAGCACCGTGAGAGAGGAAGACCCGTGAAGAGGGCTGGGGACCCGAAGAGCTGTGGTGAGGGGGTGAAGAGTGGGAAACACTGACACACAGACGGGCAGGGCCGCATGACCCTTGCCAGCTCTCTGACAGGGACGGCAGCTGGCCTGGCCTCCGGTAACCGGAGCCCCCGTGTATTTATAGCGCTGGCCTGGCCCGGTCCCCTGCCCCCAGGTCTAAGTTCCAGGGACAGGAGGTCATGGGCAGGGGTGCTGGGAGCGGGTTCCTTCGCCCCTCGCTATGGCCTCCACTCGCTCAGCACAGTGTCCTGTTCCTGCCAGAAACCCCTGTAGTCTAACCCCAATCCCTCCACCCGCGGCCTCACCCCTCAAATACATCTCTCCTGGCCCCCAGCTGCCCCGGACCCCCCCAAGTTGGCCCGTTACAAGTCTGGCTGTTGTCTCTGCAGCTGCCAAACATGAGCTTGTTGGGAGTCCAAAGTCAAGTCCGTTGGACCCCCCACTCCTGACCAAGGAGAGACCCCTTCACCCACCCCTTCCCAGCTGGGAGGAGGAGGAGGAGCAGGAAGGGAAGGACAGGCGGACTGACCCAGAATAACTCAGGGCTGAGAGTAAATTTAGCCACAGAGAGGGGAGGGGAGAGACCCTATTGGCTGGGAGGTGGGAGGGAGGGCCTGAGAGGGGGGTCAGGGGGCTCCTGAGACTGCCTCACAGGGGTGTCCAGTGCCGGCAGCGAGGGCCAGAGGAAGGCAGGCGGGCCAAGGTGGGAGAGACACAGCAAAGGAACAGCAGCGAGAAAGAGAAAGACTCCAGAAGAGACAAGAACCCCCCCCAACATTCGTCCACGTCGCCGCAGGGGGCAAGCAGAGCCAGCCGGGGAGAAGGTCTGCTGCCCGCCCGTCCCCATGGGCCGCCGTGGGCCATGGCTGCACACGTCTGTCCTCTGGGCTGCCGTGGCCAGCCTGCTCCTCCCTCCGGCCATGACCCAGCAGCTGAGAGGGGCTGGGCCCGGCCCCAGCAACTGGAACAACAATGCAGGCGTCTCCTCAGAGGACATGTCAGGTGAGTTTGGCCACCCCACCCACAGCCACGGAGGCCGCGGAGACGAGAGCGAGGGTGTTTTCACGGCCAGTGGGCCTCCGTTCTGGAGCCACAGAGACCGCGGGGAAGAGGACGAAGATGTCTCCGGGGAATATGGTCACCGACTCCAAGGCCACAGGTCCCAAGGCCGCCAGGCCGGAGACGAGAACGTTTCTGATGAGGAGGCCTTCGCAGACCGTGGCCGTGGGAACGATCACGTGGATGATTCGGCGGCGCATGGGCACCACTTCCCCAGCCACGGGAGCCACGGCCATCACGACGAGGATGAGAACGAAGTTGTGTCCAGTGAGTATCAACATCACATGATGAGGCAGGTACACCGAGGCCACGGAGAAGAAGAAGATGATGATGATGGTGATGATGATGATGGCTCTAATGAGTATGGCCTCCAGGCCCACAGGTCCCAAGCCCACAGGAAGGAAAAAGATGACGATGACTCAGATGAACACCACCACCATGTCCCTGGCCATGGACACCAAGGCCACAAAGAAGAAGAAGAAGATGATGATGATGATGACGATGATGATGATGCCTCCACTGAGTATGGACGCTGGGCGTACAGGCACCAAGACCACAGCGAGCAAGAGGAGGAAGATGAGTCAGATGAGGATGAACACCACCACCATGTCCCCGGCCACAGACCCCAAGGCCACAGAGAAGAAGAAGATGAGGATGAGGATGATGAGGAGGATGCCTCCATCAAGTACGGACACCTAGCCCCCAGGCACCAAGGCCACGTGGAGGACGAGGATGCAGACTCGGAGGAGCACCGCCATCATGCCCCCAGCCGCGGACATCCAGGCCATGGAGACAGGGAAGACGAGGGTGAGGATGTGTCCACGGAACATTGGCTCCGGCTTTCCAGACATACTCCCCACGGCCTTGGAGATGAGGAGGAGGAGGAGGAGGAGGAGGAGGAGGAGGCCACAGTCAAGTTCAGTCACCACGTTGCCAGCTCCCAACCGCCAGGCTCCAAGAGCACCGAGGAGGAGTACCTCCCAGACGAGTACAAAGCAGGGGTCCCCCGCCATCACCCCCACGCAGTCCCCGAGGAGGAAGACGAGGACAGCTCTGCCCAGCTGGGCCACCAAGCCCCCAGCCATCATCAACAAGGCCACGGCGATGAAGAGACCGGCCAGAGAGTGCCCATCAAAGACATTAGCCCCCAGGCCCCAGAGCGCACCGGGGCCAAGGACAGAAGCCATTTGGGGGAAAGCGATTCTGAGGAGGAAGAGGAAGAGGAAAAAGAAGAGGAGCACAGCTCCCAGGAGGAAGATGAGGGAGATTCAGAGCAGGAAGAAGGCCCCCACCGAGGCAGCCGGGCCCAGGAGGACGAGGAAGATGAGGAGGAAGGCCATGGCCTCCGCCTGAGCCAGGAGGAGCAGGAGGAGGAGGAGCAGGAGGATGAAGAAGAAGAGGAGGAGAGGAGAGAAGAGAGGACTGAGGTTCAGGCCCCACGGAGCCAAGACCACCGCCGCGAGGAAGACGAGGAGGAGGAGGAGGAGGGGCTGGAGGAAAACCGGCTTCCGTTCACCATCATCCCCAACCCACTGGCCAGGAGGGAGGTGGCTGGAGGTGGCCCCAGCGAGGGAGAGAGTGGTGAAGCCGGTAAGTGCTCTGGCCTGGTGGGAGCGGGAGGAGCCGTGTCAGTGTGGGTCACTGCTGTCCTCCTGTCCCCACAGGTCCCCAGGACGCCCAAGAGTACGGCAACTACCAGCCAGGGTCCCTGTGTGGCTACTGCTCCTTCTGCAATGTATGTCCCCAGCCCAGGCCCACCCACCAAGCAGTCCCTGGTGCCCGGGGGGCCTTGGGAGGGCCCTGAGCAAAGGAAGGCAGGGATAGTTCCAGGTGAAGAAAGACACTTCCGGGGCCATGTTGGGGACAGACTGGAGGCCAGGAGCCGATGGAGGAGGCTGGGGCCATGGTCCAGGAAGGGGAGGGTGTAGGGAGAGAGGAAGGTCCTTCTGCAGCCTTGGAGCATCTATCCCCCAAGATGGGGAGCCGGGTTGAGGGGTGGGCCTAGAACGGAAGGGGCGGGGCCAAAGCAAGAAGAACTGAAGGGCCGGGGGGAGCAGAGAGCATCCGTGGGTCCGGCCCGCAGTGATGGGGGGATGGGGCGTCCCCCTGCCATAGGAAACCAAGCAGGGAGAGGTGGCTTTGGGGGATGATACTGAGCTCAGGGTTGGAGGTAATGAGGCTGAGGAGTTGGGGGAAGGGTGGGAGACTGGCAGGTGGCTCCCCAAAGGGGTGAAGGTTTCAGTCTAAGGTGCCCCCTCCGGTCCCCAGCGATGCACTGAATGTGAGAACTGCCACTGTGACGAGGAGAACATGGGAGAGCACTGTGACCAGTGCCAGGTGAGACACCCCGCCTTCCCCCCCAGGACTCAAGGCTCCCCCCCACACCAGCCTCAGGAAGGTCCAGGACCCCCCAGCCCCAAATCCTGGCCTCCGCCCTCAAACTGACCAAACCCCTTACCCCCATGCAGCCTTGACTCCACACTCGAACCCTGCCTCTGACCTCGACCTCCACCTGGCAAGCCTCCGTCCCACGCCCCCAACCTGACTCTGCCTTTGACCACGACCTGCCACTCACTCTCTCTCCCCGCCCCCTCCCAGCATTGCCAGTTCTGCTACCTCTGCCCGTTGGTCTGCGAAACTGTCTGCACCCCGGGTAAGCGGTGGGCGGCCTCCGGAGAACCCCGGGAAGGGGCGGGGCCAGGGAGCGGACCCGGGTGGGGACTGGGAGGTTGCAGGGCGGGGCTAGAGGTTCGGCCGAGGCTGAATCGGTGGGTGGAGTCGGGCGAGGACGGAGGGGCGGGGCCTGTGCGCACACAGAAAGTTGGGGGGTAGATGCTGCAGCCTTGGAGATGGGGAGCCGGGTAGAGGGGTGGGCCTAGAACGGAATGGGCGGGGCCAAAGCAAGAAGAACTGAAGGGCCGAGGAGGCTGGTGGAGAATGGGGAACCCGATCAGGACCTTCCTAGTGGAAGGAACTCGGTTTGGGGAAGGGATTAGGAAAAGAGGGCGGGGCTGGCCTTGGTCCCGGGCGCGGTGAAAAGTGACCCCTACTTTCGCCCGTGCAGTACCCCTCAAACCGGTTCTCTCTCCTCTCACACAGGAAGCTACGTGGACTATTTCTCCTCGTCCCTGTACCAGTGAGTGTGTGTCGGGGGGTGTGAGGGCGCCGGCTAGAGGCGACCCTGGGTCACATGAATGGGAAGGTGAGCTTGGGGCGCGTCGGTGGGTGGTCTAACCATTGCGTCCTCCTCTCCAGGGCCCTGGCGGACATGCTGGAAACTCCGGAACCCTAACTCGGCCGCGCGGCTGCGGCGCAGACGTCCCTCCCTGGCCCTCCAGCACCTTCCCACGAGCCATATTTATTTCTCTGAATAAACGTGAACCCCTAAACCTCACTGTCAGGCGTAGGGTCTGGCTTCCCGGGGCACCGAGGGACTCGGGACTCGCGGGTCAGAGGACGCGGAGCCCGTGCTCCCGGGGCCTCGGGGCGGGTGGTCGGTTGCAGGTCCTGATGAATAAACCAGTCAACACGGGCGCGTTTTGAAACAGTTCTCTTTACCCGTGATCACTGAGTGACGCCTGAGGCAGGGGGGCCGACAAGAGTCCGGGGCGAGGGCTTCCCACCGTCCGCCCTCCCCCCCACGGCACATCGCCCAGTGGCACCGTGGAAAGAGGATTCTCCCATGCAAACCCCGGGGCCGGAGGGGAGCGGGGAGCGCGCTCTGCGCCCCCCACCCCTGGGGCACGGACACGGCCACAGCACGGGGGGCGGAGGGCCCCGGGGACACGAGACACTGGGGAGAGGGACCCCGCCCACAGCTGACCTCGGGCCACCGGGGACCCGAGGCGGCGGGCGGGGCTGAGTGGCACTGGGGGCGAGGCTTGTAGCAGCGAGTCCCCCCTCCCCTCCTTTCGGACGGAGAAGGAAGACTTGGGCCCCGCGACCGGGGAGAAAGGGGAGGGGGCGGCCTGTCCTCGCATGCGGCCCGGGAGGGCAGCCCCGGCCCCTCCCCGTGGGGAATGGGCACCCGTCTCCCGTCGGAAACTGATCAATAAATTACAAAGTAGAGACGAGGGAGATGGAGGTTTGGGGGCGGGAGTTCTTCCTGCCCTCTCCTTCCCCCCCTCTCGGTCCAGTTCATGTGGTTTGGTCCAGTCCCGGTCCGTGTGTGAGGCGGGGACGCGCGCTCCCCTCCAGTCTGTGCGGATGGTCCAGGCGGCGGCGCGCGCTCCCCGGCGAGACCACACCGGGCAGGAGGGGAGGAGCCCGGCCTCCGGGAGATTCTTCATCCGCGTGAGGTCGCCTCCACCGACGCCGGCAGCACGTGGAGCAGTGAAGATCCATTGTGCTGCCCCAGACCCCCAGGATCGCCCAGCACAGCCCTCACCTGGAGGCCTGCACTAGCAGGAATAGGTCCGGACCGAAACGCCGTCTGCCCGGGAA